CCATCCTATGCTTCTTGGAGCTATAGGAGAGCTTGTACCTCCTGTTGAAAGACGACAACAACCATACATAACTGTAAATATTAATGAAGGATATTGTCTCAGCAATGCCTGGCACAGGTCGTCTGTTGTCATGAAAACCGTGTATGTGAGAAGGAAGTCATCAAGTAGGGTCTCTGTAGAGGAAGACAAAAGAATCCCAAGGCACAGGAAGTTAGAGAGATGAGTTGGAGGCCATCTATTCCTGATGGCTTGTAGGGCAGTAATGGGAGCAGAAAGAAAATTAAAAGGCCAAGAATTGTATTACTTATTTAGAAAATCTAAGCCTGAAATAATTCACAGTATGCTGTCCCCAGTGGGGTGAGTTCTTTAGTTCACAAGAATACCCTTACCACACCATTTGACTTACCTGTAAATCAGAAAAGACTGAGATTTATTTTTGGCATTAAGCCCTTTTGATAATACCATACATTTTTTTTAAAAAAGAGAAGAGAAAAAAATCACATAACTTCCTTGATGGATCTTTTCTGAGCTTCCAAGATTTGCAATCATGCTTGATCAACCTGGTAACTCATGTCCAAAGCACTTTGTTAAGGAGTACGGCAAAGCTATAAAGAAGACAGGGGACTATTATCAGGCTTTGGAACCTTTCTTTTGCAGTGGTACTTGTACTGTAGGTTGGTAGCAATCTTATACCATTCTCCTAAACTGGGAGGGTATATGAAATAAGATGCTGGTCTCTGACCAGTCATTAGCAAATAAATTCACATCACACATATAACACTCCCAGATCAGCACTCCTGTAGGCAGTATCAGTGGAGCAACCTTACCAGAGGCTCAAGTAAAGTGTTTTGGGAAATTTAGTTCTCAAGATCAGAAGAGGGGAATGTGGGTTTTATGTATACACTTGCGAACTGTCCATCAAGAATGATGGGAGGGAGGGGAGTGGGCAGGGATGGAGACCTGTGCCCCCCCCACCATCCGGGCCCCTTCCCCCCTTTCCTTCTGCTGCTCGGGGTCCAGGCCTGCTCCCCTCCTCCCTGCCAGTGGCAGGGAGAAGAGAAGAGGGGGTGTGGGCCTGATGCAGGGAAAGCCTGGGCCCGAGGGTGAGGAGACACTAGGTCACCGCGGTGGGGGGGGAGCAGCGGGCCTGGGCCACCCCAGCAGTGGCGGGAGGACAGAAGGAACGGGCTAGGGGCCGATGCAGGAGAAGGGGATGGGGGAGGAGTGGGACCGGGCCACATTGGCTTGTGTTGGGCTGGGCCTTCTGCTCCCCCCCCACACCGCTGCAGCGGGCTGGCTTTTCCCCCAACTTGGGCCCATTTCCCCACCCCGCATTGGACCTGCACCCATTCCTCCCCTCCTGTCACTGCCACCATGGCGCACCCGCTCCTTTCCACACCCTGCATTGGGCCTGCTCCTCCCCGCACCACTGCTACATCAGCCCTGCAGGCAGCAATCACAGAAGGGGGAAGGGGCGTCCTGAACCTGCTCCCCTTCCCCCTGCACCACCACCGTCGTCACCTCCAAGGAACAAAGGGGGGTGAGGCCAGCCCCGGTGGCCTTGCCCCCCAACTCCATCATCGCCACCTGCAGGGAGCAGGGTAGCGGGGGGGCCAGGACAGCAGCCCATTCTGTCCACTCTGTTGCCACCTCCAGCTGGTCTCACCCCACCCCCCGCTCCATCCCCTGTGTCCCCACCATCATGGCGGTGTGCTGCCACCTGTCTGAACACTTGTTCGCACTCTGATTGGCTGTTTGTCAGCCAATCAGAGGGTGAATAAAGCATTATGGACAGGCAGACAGACAGATTAAAGCTTTTATAATATTAGAATGCTGCTCAGTGGTCTAAAAAGTTGTTGCCTAAGTCTTAAAGCTTCAGCTCCCCAGCCTTAAAAGTGTCACTAAGTTTTACTACACTTTATTTAATAATCTTATCAAGGGGTCAGTTCCTGCCCCATCACCCACTTCTTACATTCTTCCCTTTCTGCTAGTGTTTTAAGAAAGCATTGCTGGGTCATTTGCTGAGCTAATATTCCTGTCCACTGAAAATCCAGTAGAGAGGTTGTTTGGCTATTAAACTACCTTAACATTTCATGCCTCCGTATAACATAACAGTCTATCTTTTTTCATACTTGTCACGTTAGCTTTAGACCTTTTTTGTAAAACTTTAGACCAGGAAACAAAATCAAACTAGTTTGCCTCCAATTCCAATGCCCCTAAAGTTCATAAAGACTCTAGGAACACACACATCCACTATACAAATTAAGAGAGCTCATCTCTTGCGTAAAAGTTGACAAGAAAGTCTTTTTGCTCTTCACAGTCTGAAAGGAAAATTAATATATTTTCCCTGATACATTTCCAACAGTGAGGGTTTCCTTTGTACCGCATTTCTCTAAGTGCTATCAAATATACTCTTACGTTTCTAACAAAAAGACAGGGCAGCTTTACCAGGTGAGAATATGAAAGTGGATGCAAGCTAAATAAAGTATTCCAGGTTTATATATGGCATGCAGTATTTTGGCAGCCTCTTCACAAATGCTGACTTCAGTTGGAGGTTTCCTAGTGAAATGGCTAAAGAAAAATCATCCCTTATATGGATTAAAAAAAAATAAAGAGCCAAGAAGCTCCATGAGACTAATTACCTCAGCATTTGTGCATGGCTGGTTTTCACTAAAGCTTCTGGAGGCTGGGGGCGGGAAAATAATGCCACTTATGCTTAATTTACCAGCAATTCCACTATTCCCAAGCACTTCCTAAATGTTTTGAGGGTATGACACAGTTCTAAAGATGGCCAGAAGGTTAAAACCCATATGCCGATTCCTTTCTAACAGTCCTGTATTCTGAGAGGACAGAAAAATATATATTTTAGCTGCTTTAAAAGGAGAGAGGTAACTTTTGCTGTGCAAGTGTGTACCTGAGCTTTTACACCATAACTGTTATAAGCTACATGGTTCTGTATCCATACAAGAGATCACAGTCTTCCGAACTTTAATCCTGAATGAAGCAGGATTAAAGCTGGAGTGCTTCTGCTTCACTTGTATCACTACAGAATCATGCAGATGTGATGGTTGTATCATAACAGCTGATAACACAGGATACTGATATCCCTACAACTGTTATGTCCGTCATTACCTTTTCTTTCTATTGGTCGTCATCATTTTTCATATTAAGTACCAATACCTGCCTTGGAATATTTGCAGCACATTGCAACACAAACAGTATGATCATTTGACATAAAAATCATCCTCTTTTTCATCATAGCTATTAAAAACTGAATTTAAAACAAATTAAACAAATACTCCCTATAAAATATAATAATTTATTCTGATGCAGTCTTTGGAAGATACTATATAATGTGAAAGCGGTTTTCTCAAACATTTATTTGGAAACTGGTGGTCATTGCTTCCAAGAGCACATTTAATTCCATACCTTACTAAACAACATGATTATGCAGTGATCCTTATGAAATCCCAAAATGTCATTATAGCAGACTATTTCCATGGTAACTTACTGAGTACTTACACTTGTGTGCAAAACATGCATTCCCACAAAATATAAATATCATGTTGACAACTATGAAATGTTGAGGCACAATAGAAATAAGTGCTATCTAACTGAAATAAAATTTAAAATCTTATCAATGAGCTACAATAAGGCTTATACAATGTAAGGAAGTACTGCAAAATGTATTATACCAACTTGCATTAAAACCATCCATTTGAAGATTTCACTTGGACATCTGATTGCCTACTAGGTTTTCCAGGATAAGCCACTCTATATTTTAACTATATATATGTAATGGAAGAAGTATTTTGAACATTTTAAATTTATTGCTGGAAAATTACATCTCTAAATTTGATAAGATGATCTAAAGTGGTCTTTAAGCTCTATACATTTTAAAGCCTATTTTATATATCTAACCTATACACAAGTAAATAAACATATATATAAAATGACATGGTTACCATCACAAGTGCACAGCACCCTTAAATTGCTACTGAGCGATCCAATACAGTATTGTGTTGGACCAGATCCTCAGCTGCTGAAAACTGTCACAGCTCCGTAGCTGCCTACAGATGTGCTTGTTTGCATTCTAATTAGAACGCTCCAGCATCGCCTCACAGTCGCATGCATTAAGCTCCCCTGTGTTTCAAAATTGCTGTGGGGGCACTTTAACTAAACCTCATCCAATGAACTTTAGTTAAAGCACCCCCATGGCCATTTTGAAATGTGGGGAGTGGGGGAGTAGGCTTAATACATGCGACAGTGAGCCATTTTAGATTGGCTGTCCAGGAACCGCTCTAATTAAAACACTCTCCTCCCAACCTCCAAGCACGTGTATAGGCAGCCCATCAGTTTAAACAGAACTATGACAATTTACACCAGATATGGATCCACCTCTAGTATATAGCATTTATTCCTTTCTCTATGTGCACAGGAAACTCACTTATTTCCTACCCATCCAACATTTCCTCAAACAGAACTAAAAGTCACATATATTGTTGTTATTTTTAGATTAAAAAACAACTACTGAGAACAAGAAAAGTTCACAAAGTGTGACTGCATTTATGGGCTAAACCTCTCTAAATTGCCTCTCAACTTGTTTAAACATTTAAACCCTAAAGGAGTATTTTGAACAAAAGGCCTATCTGCTACATGTGGTCCATTAATAGATTCACTCAGCTGTTAAATTACTTTTACAAGTAAGTAAATGAAAAGTGTGTTGATAGATTAAATAAATATTATAGGATGCTTAAGTACTGTACAATAAAGTTCATACTTAAAAATCTCTGCACTAACTTGCATGTACTCTCCCAAAGTATCACCGTAAACTGTAACTACATGTCTTTTCAGAATGCAATTTAATATAAAACAATTCCTGAAGGGTTTTATACATAATACACACACTCCAGAGTGGCCTAAAAAATGAGTGTGCAGGAGAAATATGTGTGAATGTCTACATGGGTGTGTCTACATGGGACCCTTTACTGCACAGCAGAATTACTGCACAATAAGCACCTGCATGCAGACGCTTATTAAACAGGATTTGGCTCTAATAGTGAATACCTGCAAATGCAAGTAGCACATTTTATTTGACATTACTTACTGCGCTATAGCACACATGTAGACACCTAACCCAGAGCATATATGCTCCCAGTCAGCCAGGCACCAG